GTCCGACTGTCTGTCTTTCTCTGTCCTTTTCCCGCTTTCTTTTTCTGTTCTTTTTTTCTTTGCTCTCTTCATCTCTCTCCCCACCCCAGCTCTCGCGTTTTCTCCCTCTTCTCTCGTTCCCCATCCCTCTCCACGGTGCGGTTGCGATATGGAGAGAGAGCTGGATGCTTCGCGCGCCAGGTAGGTGTTTCTAACATCTACAGTCGGTGCATAATCTCCTCTCTCTCTCTCTCTCTCTCTCTCTCTCTCTCTCTCTCTCTNGTGTGTGTGTGTGTGTGTGTGTGTGTGTGTGTGTGTGTGTGTGTGTGTGTGTGTGTTTGTCTGCCCCTCTCTCTATCTGTCTGTCCGTCTGTCTGCCTGTCTCTCTGTCTCTCTAGCTGTCTGTCTAAAGGTTTGTCTGTCTGTCTGCCTGTCTGTCTTTCTCTGTCCTTTTCCCGCTTTCTTTTTCTGTTCTTTTTTTTCTTTTGCTCTCTTCATCTCTCTCCCCACCCCTCTCTCGTTCCGCCATCCTCTCCAGCGGGGCGGTTTGCGACTTATGGAGAGAGACTGATGCTTCGCGCGCTCAGGTACGGTTGTTTTAAACATCTACCATCGGTGCATAATCTCCTCTCTCTCTCTCTCTCTCTCTCTCTCTCTCTTTCTCTCTCCTCTCTCACGCGACAGTGTATATTAGCGGCGCATAGGTTAACCTTTACCAAGATTTCATTATTCGTTCTTTCGTCTCTTCGCTCTCTCTCCCTCAAAACCGGTTGCATATAGAACCCTGAATGGTGTCCGAGCCGCTTGCACATATATATATATGTGTGTGTGCGTGGCTTTTTTGAATATGAGCTGCCCCGCTGCTGCTGCCTGTGTTACAAAGCGTAATTTAAGTGAATGTATTTTTCACAGATTCTAGAACTAGCTTATGAGTCACCACAGCGAGTTGAATAGACGGGGGCCGGGCCCGATTGTCCGCATGCACACCACGTACTCGAGTCCGCTGCGTGGGTGCGTGTAGGACCCCGCGCGTACGCGCACGCGTAGGCGTGCACACTTACGTGCGCACGTACACGATGTGTGTACGTATGCGTGCGTGCGAGCGTACGTGTGCGCGCGTGTGTGCATGTGTGTGTGTACGCGCGCGTGTGTGTGTGTGTGTGTGTGTGTGTGTGTGTGTGTGTGTGTGTGTGTGTGTGTGCGTGTGCGTGTGTGTGTGCGTGTGTCGTGTGTCGTGTGCGCGCGCGTGTGTGTGTATATGCGTGGCGTGGTCACAGTGTGGGCGTGCATACCTGCGCACAATTCGTATGCGTTTGTGCGCGTGGTTGTTTGAGTGGGTATATCTCTAATCATACGCTCGTGGCGGCACTTCGTGTCAGATGCCTGGCTGAATGATTACAAAATTTACAAAGATAAAATAAAATGTCTGCTTCGTTAATTACATTCCTAAGGTAATAACGAGCGCCATTATCTTCATGCGTCAGTATTCGTAATACATAACACACAGCCACCGCACACACCCATACACCCCAACACAAAACCCTCGCCGGGCCATGCATAAGGAACACACACACACACACACACACACACACACACCACACACATCACATACACAGCACACACACCGGCGCACACACACACCAGCACACACACACACACACACCGTAGGAGACCACACAGACACACACATACACACACACACCCACACACAGCACACAGCCCACACACACAGCACACATAATATTATATATAGTATAATATATAAAATATATAATATACATATAACATATATAATACAGGGCCCCCCGCAACACACACCCACACACGCCACAGCCCACCACGCTACACACACCACACACACACACCACACACACAAGCACACCACACATCGGCACAACGCGCGCACACACGACCACACAGGGACACACGACACACAGCCACACAGCACGCAAGGACACAACACACAACACACACATATATATATATATAATAATATAATATAAATATACATAAAAATAATATATGTATAGGGTGGTTGGATGATTTGTTGATCTTGTAAAATAATTGGCGGTACAAGCACATACATACAAACACGTGTAACTGTTTGCCCCGTTGTTGTGTAACTTGTTGTGTGAAGCGAAAATTTCACATGTTTTTACCAACAGCTTTCATATTTTATCGACAACTCTGATACTTACCGTACCGTACCACCAAATGTATATAGTAAGGCTAACATGTCATGGAACACTCTCACATCATTTTTCCATCAATATGTGCACCGATCTGCATTTCAAATGAGATTTGTTTACATATGTCACCAACCCTATCGCATGATTTGTTTTTCTCTCGCGCGACGCCACTGACCGGAACCCTGTCTCTACACTAGATTTAAATACTTTACTATTATACTTTTATTATACACTTATACTTATATTATGTTGTTATATTTTTTTTATTTTTGTTTATTTTATTTTTTATTTTATTTTATTTTTTACTTTTTTATTATACTTTGTATAAATTTCGAGATATGTACCAGCCTATTAGTATTTGCGTCACGTTGCTATGCGCACTATGAAGTTGTTTGGGCGGTATCGTTTGAAAATTCCACTACCGCGTATTTCAAGATAGCAGGCGCACGTTTGCTATTCATTTACTGTTTTATTGGCTATAACAGCAGAAACCCGTAATAATCTTTACGCTGTAATCAGTGGTATGTAGGTCTACTGTGACAGGGGGAAAGACTAAATTTGTCTATATTCATTCGTTTTTTAAAATTTATTTGAGAAATGGCCGCGCGCATATCTTGTGTGCGTCATGCGCAGAAATCTTCTCAACTCTCTCTCGCTGGTTGGATCTTAAGGCCGTCGCACACCCTACCCAAAAATCGGTTCGATTAAAAAATCCTTCATCGTTGTAAAATCGGTCAGCCAGCGACGCCTTCCGATTAAAACCCGCGCACACTAACGGGATAAAATTGGTTAATTTTGTTGAATGGTACGAGCGCCAATTTTGAAATGTCATGTGAACACGGGCACGTTCAGCTATTGGCTTTCAAGAAAATCGCTTCATAAATAATCGGTTCAAAATCAAACATGTTGTGAATTTGGAACGGATGCACC